CATTGCTGTAGGTTACAGCTGCACTATTTTTCAGCGCTACAACCCCACTACAATAGATCTGCAAAACCCAATGAACAGTAGTAAATCCTGTTCCAATGTGGTTCATACTCACATCAAATGATTGCAATTAACCAAGGATTCTAATAGTTCAGCTGTACTTGTGAGTCATTGTGTGCAGATTTGTATCTGTCTGATTCCTCCTATTGTATTGTTACAATATTGCCTCATGCTCAGTCCTGCAAATGTGTATGATGCAAAACCAAAATGGTGTTATAAAGATTACTTCACTTTTTCCAGTTGGAGAATATGCTAAGGGTTAGTCAGGTGGGGCACTAATGTGACAGCAATATTTCATCTCTTAAAATCTAATTGTGTTTTGTGGCATTCAACTGATCATTATCATGTTTAAAATTTTTTTTAACATGTGAAAAGAGGTATGATAACTAAAATCACATGACTGATTTGAAGCAGGCCGCATAGCATCTGTGGACAGAGAAACAGGGGGTAGAATTTAATAATCAGGCCAGTAGCCCTTCCACCAACTGAGGTGGTTGTGACAACTTCACAATGGCCATTTCTTGGAGTCTCTAATGAGGTAGCACACTGATTGCCTTTAAAGTTCCTAATTCTGCCAGGAGCAAATCTTCCCCTCCTCCCATAATTTCACACGTAGAGCAGATGTCCCACCTTTGTCAATTGCTAGATAATCAGAAGCTGTGGCTCTTGTATCTCTTGTATCAACAGTGTCATTGGGATCTAAGACAACTGTTGGTGTTACAGGAGGCCTGATGCTGAAGATCAGTACAGGAGCATCTGGGCGAAGGTGAGGGGCATTAGATTACCAAGGTCAGCCAGGGAGACTGCTGGGAGGAGAAAGTCATGAAAAGCAGGGTGGAGAGGGCTCCCTTCCATTTCTATCTTGTCATTGTTTATTCCCTCCTTTGGGAGAAGGATGTTTGAAAAGGAGGAAACTCTCATTAAACTGCAGCCATACTTACCAGGGTTCAATACCAGAGTTGATGAGACGAAGGACAATGCTTAGTTTACAGTATGGAATGGCCATCCTTCAGTATTCCTGCTTCTTGGAAGGGAAGTGGAATCTGGAAGGTGACAAGGCTATCCCTGAAGAGCATTAAATTCTAGGCAAACTTATTGTTTCTGTTCAATGACCTTTGGTCAGATTAGTTATGTTAGCATTTGTTTCAAGAGAATTTGACAAATGAAGATGGCTTGTTGCACTTGTATAAAGCCTGGTGAGAACTCACCTGGAGTATTATGTAAAGCTTTGGTATCCTTACCTAAGGAATGATATTTTTAGCATGGAGAGAATTCAACAAAGGTGAATAAGAGTAACCCCAGGTGTGGCAGTCTTGTTGTATGAGATTGAGGAAATTGGGTTTCTACTCTCTATAGTTTTGAAGAATGAGGTGATCTCATTGGAACTTGTAAAATCGTTCAGCTCATGACAGTGTAGATGTAGTTAGGTTATTTCCCCTGGCTAGAACCACGGTCATCATCTCAGTTCAAAAAGTAATACATTTGAGACTATGATGAGGAGGAATTCCTTCACTCAGAGGGTGGTGAATCTTTGGAATTCTTTACCTCAGGCAGCTATAAAAGCTCAATCATTGAGCAGGATGAATACAGAAATTGATGGACTGCTGGACACGATTAATATCATACAATATGGAAATAGAAGATCAGCCATAATTGAATGGTAGGACAGGCTCAATGGACTGACTGACCTACTCCTGTTCCTATGTTTCTACGGAACTGAGCCTGAGTATATAAACATGTTATCACTAGGTAGATTTTCAAATGATGTTCATCTGACAAACATATGTAGCTTGGTGGAATTAAGTTGGAAAATTGTATGTTGTTTTCTTAAGTTGGATTTAATCCCTGTTTCCACCATACTTTCATTTTGTCAATAGGAAATGGAGTTAGGGAGCTTAACTGTAAAAAATGCAGTGGGAATTATGCTATTATTTGTTCAATACTATTTACTGGCATTTAAGTATGTACAACAATGAGATATATCAAACCCATAAATACTGAGCAGCTGGGCTAGCCAGGCACTGGACTTTGTGTAGATCGGTATAGCGGGTCTACTAAGAAGATTACTGAAGTTTAGAGTTATTTCTGAACTATATTGCTTGCTTGTTTAATATTCATTTCTAAGATGATTTTGTGGCTAAATTGAACAGCTGTCTTTTTCTTGCTAACTGCATCAGTGGTACCATACACTACATGTGACTGATGGTCATATAATTTGTTTTGTGGTGATGTTAAAGTATCAATACTGGCCAGAAATGGGAGAACTTCAAATAGTAGTATGGGATGTTTTCACATGAAAGATTGCACCTGTAATTGTCGTTACTTGAAATTGCAGGCTAGGCTTTTTAGGACTGTGATGAGGAGAAATTTCTTCAGCTACAGAGCGGTGAGCCTGTCCAAATCTCTGCTACAGAAATGGGTTGAAGCCAAAACATTGAATTTTTAAGGAGTTAGATATGGTTCTTTGAGTGAAAGGGCTCAAAGGTTATGGGGAGAAAGCAGGAACAGGATACTGAGTTGATCAGCCATGATCGTATTGAATGGTGGAGCACACTTGAAGGAAAGCACAGCTTACTCCTGCTCCTAGTTTCTCTGTTTCTACACAGTACTCCTTCAGTGCTGTATTGAATGCTAACTAAGATTAAGCACTCAAATCTCTGCACCAAAGCTCGACACATGACCTTCTAACTCATAAGGAAAAGTGCTAGAATGAAACTAATGCTGAAGAGAATTTACTGATGAAACAAAATGAATCAGATAGTGTGAGACAATTAAAATGTTCTTCATGCATTATGATACAGAGAAGTGACTTTGCAGCTAAACGTATCACAGGGAAATTTAAAACCACAAAATCATTGCATATTTTTATAAAACTGACATTGCCCTCTTTCTCACAGCGATAGAAGTCTAAGTCCTTCTGTTCCCACAGAGATTAAAATAAAACAAAACCTTAGCTCTTCAATCTTGGGGGAACAACAGCTTACGTGTGCATATAGATATATTTATATTTCATATAAATAAAACACTTAACAGAGTAAAACATCCCAAGGAACTTCACAGGAGAGAAATGAAACAAAATTTTACACTGATGCAAGTAAGCAGACACCAAAAATCAGAATTTTAAAATCAAGGAATTGTCTACCAATGAGCATAAGTAGACCACAAAGCATGGTGTTGATGGTGCTTGGTTTGAGTACAGTATGTGAACAGAAACCTAGACACAGTTACTGGTTAATATTCCTGGCAATCCAATGTTTGCAGTTTATTTTAATGTACACTTTAACATTTAAAAATCTAAAGAGTGAGAAGTGAACAGCTGAAAGATATCCTTTACTATTTCCCATGCTCATCTTTCAAAATAAATAAGACTCTGAATACCAAGTTGGTAAGTTAGGAGCAAAAGTGAGATTTTCTGGAGCAACAATGGAAAATTTGCAACTGCATTTTATAGAGGGGGAGAAGGTGCTCACATCTAGAAGGAGAAGATAACATTTAGAAAGCCTGGCCCACAATAGTAACGAACTGGATCAGCCTATACAGGGTCCAGGGAAGAATTCCACACCTTAATGGACAGGAGGTCCCACTCTGATCAGTTGGCATTTCTAATAGTCTTAGCAGCACTGAAAATGGCCCAGGAACAGGACTATGGCAAACAGAGACAGGAAAGTCCCAGGCTTTTAGGGTGGCAAGAAATCAGAAAGGTTAGAGCAGGCGACAAAGGTTGGGGAGGAGCAAAAGGGAGGTTACATCTTGAGGAGAGTGCTCCTGAAGTACACAGGTCAACCCTGATTGTTGTACTCCCCTTTCCTTGCCATCTTTGCATAGAAGATCTTGTAGAAAAATGACTTTTGCACTCTGGCAGTCTGCTATTGCTTATGGGCAGTGGAGGCAGATTGAGGCACTTATGTAAGTAGTTAAGGGCTTCAATAGGTCTAAATGCATGTCACTTTGTGAACAAATAGACCTGCAGCAGCAAAATGGGGAACAGGTTAGAGGTGAGTGGGATGGAGATGGGCTAAACATTAAATATATTTGGCATTCTCCAGCCTAACTCCTATCCTGAAAACATACTTTGTGGGGGGAGTAGGGTGCACAGGGCAGAAACATCCTCGTTGTTTTGGTTAATTGCAGTTTCCTTGCTCCCTTCCAAATAAAGTGGGCACATATCAAGAAGACAACGATCTTGAGTTTCCATTGTGGCAAGGTTTCCTCAGAAGTGGGTTATGGCAGAATTTCATTATCCTCCATAACTTCAGAATGAATTTTGCTAAATTCACAGGATTAAACTGATTGAAAATGTTCATTTTAAGCCTAATTAGTCCCCTCAAAAGGTCTCACCCGGGATAGGGAACATAGAAATTAACTCCAGCTCCTGTCATTGTGTACCATAGTTGACTGTGTCAGCTAAATAAATAAAAAACTTGTAAGTAAATTTGAATTTGGGATATTGATTGGTGTGAGAATGTTAATAGCAAGGCAAGTTAATCTGAGGAAACTAAAGTGTATAAGATCAAACGTGCTTTGTTTGCTGTATAATTTTTGCATTCTTTCTTGAGTCACCTGTGAAAAATACTACAAGATTGAGTACCAAGGAGAAAGCAGGTTAACAAAAATATTTCTTCCAAATACTTCTGCATGCGTCTATTCTTTAGCTGGCTAAAGACATTGATTACTTCATTCCTAATTATCCCTCTCCAAGGAGAACCACAATCTCGAGTGTCCTCATACTTTGAGTTCTGTGATGGTGTAAATCATGTGTGGGACACGCATAAAACATAATGGCAGCAATAAACTTTTGATGTTGCCAGTTCCATCATAACCTCAAAGTCAAAGTTCTTTGGCTCAGAAATGGAGATATTTGTGCCAAATAAGTACAGAAAAGACATTTTCCCACAAGTGCTATTTTGGTTTGATCCCTTAAAATCACATTTCTGCCACCATCATTTTAAGTCAAATATTAATCATATTTATTCAGAGACACTCACAGCTAAATTTCATCCATGGGAAAGATTTCACTCATGTTATAGCTGAGAAAGGCTGTGTCCTCAGATGAAGCAACATTTCCTGCTTGTCCATATACAGAAAAAGTATTCAGGTCATTCTGAAACACGGGAATTGTTCCAAGAAACTAGTAACTTACATAACTGGAGCAGCTCTGGGTTGGGAGAATTAAACATGTCAGATTCCCTTGGAGGCAAATGATGCCATTTGCTATGACGTAGGTAATAGACACATTATGCATTTTTATTGGACACGTGGGATTGTAATTTACATTTAAAGTGACTTATAAGCTTTTCTTCCACTTGACTTTGCCTGGGTTTTTATTCGCATTTGGAAAAGAATGGACTCTTTAGGGACAGTCACCATAGCTTTTTGCAGGGGAAGTCTTGTCTCACAAATTTTATCAAATTTTTTAAGGAAGTGGCAAAGATGGTTGATAAAGGTAGGGTGGTGAATGTTGTCTGCATGGACTTTACTAAAGCATTTGATAAGGTCTCTCATGGTACGCTGGTCCAGATGTTTACGTTACATGGGATCCAGGGTGAGTTGGTAAATTGGATCCAAAATTGGGTTGGTGGAATTTTGCAGGAGTATTTTTCTGACTGGAGATCTATGACCAGCCGTGTTCAGCAAGGATCAGTGCTAGAACTTCTGTTCATTGTAATTTATATAAATTCTTTGGACGAAAATGTAGGTGGTCTGATTAGTAAGTTTGCAGATGACTCAAAAAATTAGTGGAGTTGTGGATAGTGAAGAAGGTTGTCAAAGGATACAGCAGGATATAGACCAGTTGGCAAGTGGGCTGAGAAATGGCAGAGGGAGTTTAATCTGGACAAGTGTGAGATGATGCATTTTGGGAGTCAAATGCAAGAGGAAAGTATACAGTAAATGGCAGGACCCTTAGGAGCAATGATATACAGAAGGGTCTTGGGGTTCAAGTCCATAGCTCCCTGAAATTGACAACACAATTTGATAAGGTGGTATAGAGACATATGGCAAACTTGCCTTCATTGATTGGCAAGACATTTTGCAGCTGTATAAAACTTTGGTTGGGCCACATTCGGAGTAGTGTGTGCAGTTCTGATTGCCACACTGTAGGAAAGATGGGAAGCCTTTGGAGAAGGTGCAGAAGAGGTTTACGAGGATGATGCCCGGATTGGAGTTCATTATCTATACGGAGAGATTGGATAGACTTAGATTGTTTTTGTATAAGGTGGATAGTTGGAGTCTTTTTCCTGGGGTAGAAATGTCAAATATCAGGGGCCATATGTTTAAGGTGAGAGGGGGAAAGTTTAAAGGAGATGTGCAAGGCAATGTATTTACACAGAGGTTGGTAGATGCACTGGAATGCGCTGCCAGAGGAGATGGTAGAAGCAGATATGATAACAATGTTTAAGAGGCATTTAGACAGACACTTGAACAGGCAGAGAATAGTGGGATATGGACCATACGCAGGCAGATGTGATTAGTTTAGAATGGCAACATGGTCGGCACAGATTCAGTGAGCTGAAAGGTCTGTCCCTGTGCTGTACCGATCTATGTTCTATTTTCTTTAACGGAAGCATCTTGTAAGTAAATTGTGAAAAAGATCAGATCCAAGCATTTTGGATATTTTTAGAGAATCCATGCTTGTGACAGAAAGCTTCCCAGCAGGGCCCCAGCTAGACTGATAAGTGAGTATTTTACGATGACACTGTGTGAAAACAGCTGCGTGTGTTTCCGAAGCCAATCATACTCTTCTGTCAACTTTTGTGCTTGCAGTTCAGGTGACACAGTGTTCCAAATCCTCTCATAATATTTGTTAAGCCAGTCAATCTAGAAAACAGCATTGAGAAGACAAAATGGGTTCTAAATACTATGCAGAGTAACATCATACAAATAGTAGAATAATATCACAATTACAATTTTTCACAAATTCTTATTAATCATTGGCTGGAGGTCCTGTGCCAATGTGATATGCCATGTCTACTTAGTCTATAAAACTCTGACTACAAATTCTAAAACACAGTATTATGGTGATTTTTGATTATCTTGTTAAGATGAAGTCTAGAGTAGATTTGAAATGTTTTATCATAAGGGAAAAAAAACCCTTTAGATGAATTATCATACTAGAGAAGTATGCCTTTTCTGCGTGCCACAAACACCTGCCCATAAAGTTCAGTAATAACTGCTTCCTGATTCATTGTTGGACTTTTGCTGCTGAAAATAGAAAACCCAACAGCAATTTTCACCTCAGTCAAGGCCTTTTGCTTTGGTGATTTGTAATGATATTTAACTTAATTGAATGAGTGTTCATGGCAACAATTTGCCCCAGTGATATTTGTAAACTTTCTTTGTTTTGAATATATTTACACTTTCATTTCATGTAATGGAAAGAGCAGTATTTGCTCTCCAGACTAGCCTCAAATGTAGAGATTTATAAGTGGCTTTTTAAGGACAATGCAGGCAAAAAAAAGGTGCTATAAAATTTAAGGTGATTTAAAACTGTTTGCCTGCCTCTTTTATGATAATGTTTGTCATCATAGTTGCACACTTCCAATCTTGATTTGCCTGCATCTATAATGGATATTTTTAATCAACATTGCAACACATCTGAGGTAGGTGAGATTGAACCCAGACCTTTAGCCCAGTAGTAAGGACACTACCACTGCACCAGAACAGTCTGAATGGAGGTACTCTATTTTTTAAAAATCAACCTGTTCAGAGATGTTACGAAACACTTCTGGAGCAGGTGGGACTTGAACCAAGGCCTCCTGGCCCAGATGTAGGGATACTACTAGGGAACGGGCGGCACGGTGGCACAGTGGTTAGCACTGCTGCCTCACAGCGCCAGGGACCTGGCTTCGATTCCAGCCTTGGGCGACTGTCTGTGTGGAGTTTGCACATTCTCCCCGTGTCTGTGTGGGTTTGCTCCGGTTTCCTCCCACAGTCCAAAGATGTGCAGGTTAGGTTGATTGGCCATGCTAAATTGCCCGTAGTGTTCAGGGAGGTGTACATTAGGTGGGTTGTAGGGGGATGGGTCTGGGTGGGATGCTCTGAGGTTCAGTGTGAACTTGTTGGGCTGAAGGGCCTGTTTCCACACTGTAGGGATTCTATGATTCTACTGCTACAGCATAAAAGCCCCTGGAGCCATAATGTGAAACTGCAACTTATTTGCCATTAAATTGGCAATCACATTCCCATAATCCTACAGGATGGCTGCAGTGAGAAACTGAAAAATATCACACTGAAGAAGAGGACAATTCTCTATACATAGGGTTGTCTACAGAAAACTTTACTCTGCAGCAAAATATGCTGTTCCTACCTTGCAATTGATCAGCGATTGCCATAAGGGACCTTAAATTGAATTGTTTTTTCACTCACCAGCATTAAAATGTTCACCTTGAATACATAATTGCTGAAACAAAATGTTGGTGGTGGATCTGATAGTAACAGCATTTAAATCAAAATTGGAACTAAGAAGATATCAGTGACACCAAACAGCATTATTAATAAAAGAAATGTAAATTTCACCACAGTGTATGTGTAATAATGTCATAAATATTTTCTTTACACAATCTTGATTTCTTTTTGCATTACACCCAGGAAATTTTTAGTTCCCAGTCACAAAGCAGAGGTTGAGGAAATGAAAAAAATTATGTTAGGTTGTGTCTCTCTTTGTCTGAGCTTTGTGGCATTTTTATTGAAGAATTACAGAGGACTTGTATATGCAGCAAGGTCAAGCAGTAAAATAGTTTTAAATAAGATGAGTGGGTGTAAAAATGGGCTAGTGCCTTTTTGGATGGACAAGAAGGGGGTAGATTGAAAAATCTAGGCTTTAGCGTGCAAAAGGATGGTGATGATAAATCATCACAAAACATATAAAAGTGACAAAAATAGAAATTGTTGGGAAAAAAGGAACAAAAATAGAAATTACTGGAAAAGCACAGCAGGTCTGGCGGCATCTGTGGAGAAAAATCAGAATTAATGTTTCCGGTTCAGTGACCCTTCCTCAGAACTGACGGTAACTAAGAAAATGTTGGTTTATTGCAGAAGATGGGGTGAGGAGAGGGGGTAAGGAGTAAAAGATAAATGTGGATACAGCCCAAAGAGAGAGAAGAACAGTTGGACAGACAAAGGAGTTGGTAACAATCTGGCTAGGAGTTTGAATAGCTATTAATGGATACTGTTAGTGGCTAACAATGGGTTGTGTGTAATAGCAGACAATGTGATAGCAAGGCCAGGTATGTGGGGGTTGGGGTAAGGAGATGGGAGAGCTCAAGCACTAAAGTTCTTGAACTTGATATGGAGTCCAGAAGGTTGCAGGGTCCCCAAGCAGAAAATGAGGTGTTGTTCTTGCAGCATGTGTTGATCTTCGCTGGAGCACTGCAGCAAGCCTGAGACAGAGATGTTGGCCAAGGAACAGGGCAGTGTGTTGAAGTGGCAAGCGACTGGAAGTTCAGGGTCTTTTCTGCAGACAGAATGCACGTGTTCTGTGAAGCGGTCACCCAGTCTACACTTCGTTTTCCCAATGTAGAGGAGAGCACATTGTGAGCAGTGAATGCAGTAGACTAGATTGTGTGAAATGCAGGTAAAGTGCTGCTTCACCTGGAAGGTATGTTTGGGCCCTTGGATACTGAGGAGGGAGGAAGTAAATGTACAGGTGTTACACCTTCTACACTTGCAGCAGAGGGTGTCGTGAGGCTGGGAGAGGTGTTATGAGTGAAAGATGAATGGACCAGGGTGTCCCAAAGGGAACAGTACCTGCGGAAGGCTAACAAGAGAGGGAGTGGAATATGTATCTGCTGGTGGCATCTCACTGGAGGTGGTGGAAATAGTGGCTAATAATACTCTGGATGTGTGATGTAGGTAAGGACAAGGGGGACCCTATTGCTGCTGTGGGACGGAAGAGAGGGGGTGAGAGCCAAAGTGCGGGAAATGGGTCTGATCAGCTGAGGGCCTTGTCAACAACACAGCTAGGGAATTCTCAGTTGAGGAAGAAGTTGGACAATTTGGAGGCTCCCTCGTGAAAGTGGGCATCATCGGAACAGATGCGACGGAGACGGAGGAATTGGGAGAATGGAATAGAGTGGAATTGTTGGAAAATCTCAGCATCTGTGGAGAGAAAGCCGAGGTAAAATTTTGGGTCCAGTGAACCTTCTTCAGAAATGACTTCTTCAGAACTATAAAGTGATGTTGTTTTATCCATTTACAACAGATGCATTGTGTTCTGATCAAGAAGCTTGCTAAGCTGCACAGTCACAAACTTTGAACAACTTTTATTTATATCGTGCTGTTACAGTGGTAAAATAGCCAATGACACTCCACAGTAATATTACCAAATTAACTTTTGATTCCAAGCCACAAAAGGATATATCAACACAGGGGAGAAAAGCTCGGCCAAAGGAGTGGATTTTTAGGGGAGAGAGAGGTGGAATAGTTTATAGAAGGAATTCTAGGATTCTCGGATCAAGGCAACTTCAACACTGAAATTTTACACATTGGTTACACAAAAAAACACCCATACCTGTTCCTTGTTCATGATGGACACATTGATCAGTTTTCGTTCATATGGAACAAGAGAAATATGTTCAAAAGTCAGGTAGGGAACGCCTCCAAATGTGTGCTACGTAAGGAAAAATTTAAAACAATTGTTATTTCATACAATTTTAAATTATACAAAAATCACTTGCACCTTTTGTTATGACTGTTCATGACTGTTTCATCTGGCATAATGTATTTCAGCATCAACTTATCTATTTAACTAGGTTTAACCCAAGTTTTCAATAAAATACCATTGCCAGAATCAAAAAGTCCAAACGTTTTAAAATACAAATTGAATTGAATCTGATACCAAAGACAATTAGCCGTTTAATAAGAGCTACAAAAAAGTAAATAAAAAGACTTGCATTTATCTAGGTCTTTGCACAACCATTGGCTATTTCAAATTGTTTTACAGTATTTTTGAAGTGTAGTCACTGTTGTAATGTGGAAATTGTGGCAGCCAATTTGTATATAGTAAGCTCCCACATACAGCAATACAGTAATGACCATCTAATTGTTTATGACAATTATTTACAAAATATATGAATGACTTGGATGAGGAAAGTGAACGTATAGCCAAGTTTATGGATGACAAAAGAAAAACAGGTGGGAAAGCAAGTGGTGAGGATGGCACAAAGAGTCTGCAGAGGAATATAGATATAGATAGGTTAAGTAAGTTGGCAAAACATGGCAGACGGAAAATGTGAGGTTATGTACTTTGGCAGGAAGAGCAGAGGAGCTGAATATTACTTACGCAGAGAAAGACAGCAGAAAGCTACCACAGATGGATTTGGAAGTCTTTGTGCATATAGCACAAAAAACTAGCATCCAAGTTTAATGGGAAATAGAATGTTGCCCTTTATTTCAAAGAGAATGGAGTATTAAAATAGGAAGGGGTTTGTTAAAACTCTGTGAGGTGTTAGTCTGATCACAGCTGGAATGCTGAACAGTTTTGGGCCCCTTGTGTAACAATGGATATATTGACATTGGAGGCAGACCAGAAAAAGCTCACTAGATTGATACAGATTATGTAGGGACTGTCTTAATGGGAGAGGTTGAGTAGGATAGACCTATATGCTTTGGAATATAGAAAATGAGAAGCAACCTTACTGCGACAACATTCTCAGGGGACTTGACAGAGTAAACGTGGAAAGGTCGTTTACCCTGTCAGGGACCAGAGATTGTAATCTCAGAATTAGGGGTCATCCGTTTAACAGGGAGATGAGGAGTTTCTTTTTTCAGAGGGTAGTGAATCTGCGGAATTCTTTCTCACAGAGGGCTTTGAGGCTAAGTCATTAAGTATATTCAAGCCTGATATAGACAGATTTTTAACCAGTAAAATAATGAAAGGTTATGGGAGAGGTAGGAAAGTGGAGTTGAGGATTATCAGATCAGCCACGATCTCATTGAATGTGAAGCAGACATGATGGGCTGAATGGCCTACTCTGCCCCTAAGGCTTATGCTTTTAATCTGTTTCTGAGATAATGATTGAGGGATAAGTAATGGCAAGTGCGCAAGATTCCTATTTTTCAAATATTGCCATGGATCTATGGCATTCTTCTGAGTACAGTGGACCATGTTTTAGCATCTCAACCAGAAGGTGGTAACATCAACATTGCAGCACTCTCACAATGCTGTACTGGATTGTCAATACTTTTTCTAGTCTATACTTTTTCCTCAAGTCATGAAGCAGGATCTGAACCCAGAATCTTCTGAGTCAAGCAAGAGCGCTGAGTTACAGTTAACATGGAATGTGAAGATGAAGAAAACCGTTTTTTGTCAAGTAAACAAAAAACTCATAGTGGATCACATCAGCTTGTTCAGCAGCTGTAGAAGGAATAAGAAAGCAATTGGCAGCATGTATTGCAGCATTTTCTAAAAACGTTTGATTTACAAACAGCAAAATTAACTTGTTAAAAACTGAAAGAACTGTGGACACTGTAAATCAGGAACAAGAACAGAAGTTGCTGGAAAAGCTCAGCAGATCTGGCAGCATCTGTGAAGAAAAAATCAGAGTTAACGTTTCAGGTCCGGTGACCCTTCCTCAGAAAATAACTTGTTTCCTGCTTCAGATCTGGTTGTATCATTTATAATTAATGAAGTTATCTAATATAGCAGGCACTGAATTTGTTGGCATGCAGCTAAACAAGAGTTGCTGTTCACACAACATATAAATTATCTTAAAATATATAACATAACCTTTACAAGAAATTGCAATACCTGTTTACGATTACAAATTCAAATTTAATTTGAATGCAATGTTAGGTCTGAAACCACGATGTTGATCCATTTATTTCTTTACAGGTTACAACAAAGTCGCTGTGTTTCTGACAATCTTTTTAATGACATTAAATGATGCAAGTAAGATAAGTGAAACCTAATGTGTTCATAAAAATTGACTAAGCCTTGTCATAGGGTCATTCAGGTAACAGGAGTAGGTTTGTGTCTGTTTTGATCTCACCTCTAGCTAGATCGGTGGTGTCATGGTGGGAATCAGGACTCCATACATCTTCTAGTGAAGTGATGATAAAGTTCATTACAGAATTCCTCGGTGATCATGTGCCGATGTGTAGTTAGGCTGAGATTTTGCACCATGGTGAGGCATCAAGGTCTTACCAGCTTGCTGGAGAGACCCATGTTGCCTCATTTCAAGAAGGCCATCAAACCATGAGCCAGTCAGGTAGTAGTTGGTCAATCAATCAGTCTTCCATGTGAATCAGTACCCCAGGTGTGGATATTCGCCTACTAAAAGTTGCTGGCAATTCAGAGGCCAGCAGCTGATTGCTCAGCAGTAGCACTGGGAAGGCTGCTGTTGCTGCAGCAAGGACTGACACTAGAGTCCCAGGACTGATGAATGATCCAAATTAGGTAATGTTGGGAAGGCATTCAGAAGATGGGGTTGCTGTGAGGGAGTATAAGGGAGTTGGTAGTAAGGGCAAGGGCATGTGGGTGGTTCTTGATGTCAAGTCCCTCAGTCAGCCCTCCTCATAAACAGACAAGGAGCAGGCCGCATAGTTTTATCTGCCATGTATGTCAAGTAGTGACAGGTTTGCTTGGAGTTGGGTTAATTACAGTGATGATGGGATGAGGCCCTTAGATAGTTCTTAATTAGCCTCTTAAGTGATGGGTTTTGTAGCCTTCAATATGAGAGCCTATGTGACATACACCAGAGAGAGTTGGGTTTGTATTGGGTCAGATATCTAGAAGTTCATTCTATTTAACCAACTATGTGCACTAATATGACATCGCAGTCATACATACACATATACTGGATTACTATTATATTATTTACAAAGATAACTGGCTGACTAGCATACTGACAGGCTACATAATAACGAACTAGGTGTATATCAAGTGAAATGGAGACCTTTTATATGAGAGCATCAGATGTCTTGATTTCATCTAGCTGTCTTAAAGGTATAGTGCCTCTCTGAGATCTACAGAATAACACAGCAGTAAGGACCTCAACTGGTGGCATGGTGAGAAATCTGACCACAGGCCTTCCTGCTACTGGATTAAATATGACAGAGATGATGGTGACATTCAGGTACATCACCATCCTGACTAATTAAATGCCCTTTCTGCCTCCAAGCTTGCTGTTAAGAGGGAAGAAGATTCTGACTGTGATTGTGAACTCAAAGGATAACATTGGCATGTAGGGTAGAATTTGAATTTTAGATTTAAATAACAAGGTTATTATTTTTATAAACAATTGTTGCTAACCATATCTGTCTCATGTATTTGAGACGCAATGCAGACAAATGCACAAATGTTACCTTAGTTTTTGCCTTTACTACCACAGAAATATCTTCGATTCGAATTCCAAATTCATTATCTTGATAATAACCAGGCTCTGGAAGGGAAAAGTTAACGTATCAGATGCAATATAAAAAAGTACCTTCAGAGAAGAAGCAATAGGTGCAGTTGTAGGCCTAATGGTTATTTTTTTCACTCAAAGGATGATGAGAATGTGCAGTAGGGTGGTTTATGAGAAAAGCTTGCAGTTTGTTAAACAGCTGAATACTGTGATGGTGGGTTGCAATGTTTTTATTCCAGATAGGTGAACATAGACCTTCCTTAGCTGTATACATTTTTAGACTGTGTGGACTTTAATTCATCTACCAATAGTAAAACATTTAGAGGGTTTCAAGGTGTGTACAGTTTGCACTTTGCATCAGTGTCTGTGACCACAAGACCATAAGAAATAATAACAGGAGTAGCCTGTTCCGCCCCTAAAGACAGCTCCACTACTCAAAAGGTTCATGACTGATCCAATATTCCTTAAGTTCATTTTCCTGTGTTTTTCCTGTAACTCTCGATTCCCTAACTGATCAAGAATCTACCTATCTGAGATTTTAATATACACAAGGACACTGCCCCACAGGTCTTCATGGCAAAGTGATCCAAAGACTCTCAACTCTCTGAGTGAAGAAATTCCTTCTCATCTCAGTTTTAAATTGGTGTCCCTTTATTCAGAGACTATGCCCTCTGGTCCTAGACTCTCCAAAGATAGCAAAGGGCATAACCTCTGTACACACATAGAGGTTGTGTGGGAAAACACTTTAATGCGAAGGTTAAAGGGCCATAAATAGAAAATGACCTGTGATCAAAGAAAATTAAGCTGGAAACCCTTGCTCTCTGTTTGTATTACCTTATCTTTATCTATAGGCAGTGGAAGAATTTTGGGACATGATTGGTGACCTGCTGTGTCTTGACATATTTGTCAGGGCGTTCTAAATTCATGATGGGAAGGGCTGGTAGTTCTTTGGCCTTACTGTGCACTCATCAGAAAAGGAGGTTAAATGATTCTTTTCATGAAGAAGACTAAGGTCATCAATATGTCTTCCAAATAACAACTGGTTACTGAGCAATTCATTCCTATTTAGAAGTCTCAATCAGAATCTTGCTGTCAAGTTTGGCATTTGACCACAAGAGTGTGTCTGATAGCACGGTGTCAGTTTTGCAGCAGTCAGCAACGAAGGGAGAGCCTCTATACTTGGCTATCCAGTTAATGATGTCTAGGAGGTTTACAAGGTGGAGTGTCCAGTGTGAGGGCCCACAGTTCTGAATAGCTGGTAGCCCACCAGGACAAGCAGATGCTAAAGAGACAGGTAGAAGACAACAAGGCCCTTCAAAATGGAGAGCACTCTGCAGCATTCTGAAAATGTAAGGATTATTCAGAGTCACGCATATCAGGAATCATCAGTATGGAGGGAAAATCCCTTCACAAAATGGCTAGTGGTTGTGGCTGTGACTGTATCATCGCAGTGGCTCCATGATCGGGTGAGTAAAAGAGAAGCTGATATGTCTCCTCTCCACCGCTGGGAGGAATCCACCATGTTCCTGTCAGACTATGGGCATTTAGTGGGTGTGCCCATCTGCTGTCAGGAATATACCATCCAATTTTGGTCACACAAACAACTTCAATAAAAACAGATCATTCACTTGTTGTTTATTGGCCTTTTCAGTGCACAAACTGGCTGTAAAATTTCTCTGAGTAAGAACAGTGAGTGCACTTTTAAAAGCAATTAGAAAATTATTGACAATGAGACAAAGTGCCAATTCTGTGCATGTTCTCTAATTCACTGTGATGTAATTTGAAAGCTTTTAATTCAATCATAAAAGATTTTGGTTCTGAGGAAGGGTCTCCAGGCCCAAAATGTTAACTCTGATTTTTTCTCCACAGATGCTGCCAGACCTCCTGAGCTTTTCCAGCAACTTCTGTTTTTGTGCCTTTCTGGTCTTTTCTCCTAGTTTACAACCTCTTTGATCCCTTTCACCACACATGCCGCACCCACTCACTTGCTGCCATTGACAATGCATCCCTCTGTGCTAGAATCACCACTGCCATTCTCCACCAACTGCTATTACCCCCATCCCCTCCCGTATCTGAGTACTTCCATGTTTTGAAATTGAAGGAATTCACAATGAAATATGAAATATCTGAGCTCCAGGCTTTTCTTCATAAACTCTTCTGGCACAATTTATTGTTTAAATAATTTATTTTTAGGTAAACTTACCAATAGATGTAAACATCCCCTCCTGAAGTTGGCAAGTATGATGGCTTCCAATGCCGACTGGCCCTGTGCATCAACCGAAAACATGAACAAAACTCCACTTATGTTTCCAAATAATTAACTTGTTTTATTGCTTCTAGCCTGTTTACTCTGAAGGTTCTGAATGAGCAATACATGGAGCAACTTTCTTGAAAGTGGAGTCACAGGTAGACAGGATAGTGAAGGTGGCATTTGGCAAGCTTGCTTTCATTAGTCAGTGCATTTGAGTATAGGAATTGGGATGTCATAGGAGTTGTGGCTGTACACAGCATTGGTGGGGCCTCTTTTACAATACTGCATTCAATTCCGGTTGCCCTGCCATAGGAAAGATGTTGTGAAACTTGAAAGGGTCCAGAAAAGATTTACAAGTTGCCAGGATTGGACGGTTTGAGCTACAGGGAGAGGCTGAATAGGCTGGGGCTATTTTCCCTGGAGTGTCAAGAGGCTGACGGGTGACCTTATAGAGGATTATAAAACAATGAAGGGCATGGATAGTTTGAATAGCCGTCTTTTTCCTGGGTTAGGGAAATCCAAAACTAGAGGGCATAGGTTTAAGGTAAGAGGGGAAAGATTTAAAAGGGACCTGAGGGGCAACTTTTTCACACAGAGGGTGCTGCGTCTATGGAACAAGCTGCTGGAGGAGTTGAAAGTGGGATGAATTACAACATTTAAAAGGGATATGGATGTGTACATGAATAGGAAGGCTTTAGAGTGATATGAGCAAAATGCTGGGAAATGGGATTAGATCAGTTTGGGATATATGTTTGGTGTGGACAAGTTGGACGAAGGGTGTGTTTCCATGCTGTATAACTCTATGACTCTAACTTACTTTCAGCAAAACTAGAAATTAACATTTGAAAAAAATAAACTTTCTCATTGGTCAATTTATGAATATTATAGATTAGATCTTTGTATAGAAGTTTGTTTAGCCAAAAAAAAGAGATAGGGCCTTTGATCAATGCAAGAGTATTTGCTTATGCCTGCCAATCATATGCCTATTAACTGACTCCAATACTATACATCTTTATACAATGTTTTTAATTAAAATTAATCTGAAACTGGCTGAAGTCTGACTATCATTTTGTGATGTATTTGCTAGATTGGGGTTGGTTACAAATAGATCAGAGTACTGATGCACACAGATATGCTCACAGGTAACAAACACACAAACCTGAATTTCTTTCTTATTCCTCACATCCTAGTTTTCACTTGTGTGGCTTGCTTTTTACAAACCTCCACCAGAGTGAAGAATTTCCTGGATTAGTTTGATCATTCCTTTCATAATGCTGAAAACTTCTGATGGTCAAATGCTCTTATAAAGAAATATTAAATTTTTACTACCTTGGAATGCAGGAAAATGCCTGCATTTATATAGCACTTTTCATGATTGCAGAATGTTGCAAAGTGCTTTACAGTTAAGGACACATTTTTGAAGTGTTGCCACTGTTGTAATGTCGATGTTTTTTTGGTATGTACCTGCATAGTTAACGAAGTTGAAATGTAATGATTAACAGTTTGACCATGCTCACATTCATGAACACTGAGGAAGGTGCCGATTCCATGTCCAGTTCCATGCATGTAGTTTAGTCCCGCCTCCCACAAAGCATGTCGAGCCCATACGTCAAGCTTATCTCCTAATGGCAAAAACATTATTAATGTAGGACAGACAAATTTTATGGGTTGAATCTTACCTTATTTGCAAAGTGTCATTTTTGACAAGTTCATGGAGGATTTCTCTTCATGCAGCCTAGTGGGTGTCTTTTTTTACATTATTATCGCATTTTCCTCATTAAATATGTCCATGTGGCATCCCTTGTTTGATTCTAGAATGATTCTCCCACGTGCCACAGCCAGAAGTACTTGTGACAACGAGGGTGCCCCAGGATTCCTGGTGCTGGCACCATCTTTAAAAGGCCATTGTATAAATCAAATACTGGCAGTCTAGAGCAGCCTTGCCTAGGATCCTGACCCTGACTGCTGAGTGGCCAAATGACTGTGCCCAAGCCCCTGGATAGGTATGGAAACTGCCATTGACTTACTGTGTTGACAACCATGACAAGCTTCATGCCTTTATGTCTGCACTAAAAGCTAAATTCAGACTGAAACACTGTGTGCCTCTGCAGTATAGCTGAGGGAGCAAACTACTAAAAGGCAAGGCAATGCAGATAGGCTGTGAGTGACCAAATAGGCACTGAGGGAGTGAATGCTAAGAAAGCAAGTGAGCAGCTTTGAGATGTAGAATGGTCCAAACCATGAGCTGGGTGCCCACACACAGTGATCTTACAGTAGCATTCTAATGACAGCTGCTGGTGCATTCTAAGTGCAGGAATAAAGTGCAGAAGTGTATTCTAAGTAGATTGGAGACGTGTCATGAAGGTGCAGAGAGGCTGGCACATGTTGAATGCCAAAGACCATGGACATGGAGTGCACGCAGCCACTGCCCATGGAGTGTACCTTGAGATTTCAGTGCTGAGTGTCCAAGATGGAGTTTCAGAGGAGCAAGTGCATTGCTGGAGTTGGTTGGTACCTGCTGACTTTCACGTTGGGAATTCCTAGCATTCACCTTTGTTGGGTGGGTAGTAAAATGGGAACCAACATATTAATAAAGTGAGATTGGATAGTATGAGGGTGATAATGAGTGATAATTCCAATTAAAGACCTCTTGTTGCTCACTAATAAGACATCCGGTACTTAACTGGAAAATGCGACTTGTTAGTCCTGACATTGAGAAAGACCTCATTCAATTCTCTCACATTTCTTGCCATAGCCCATGTTGTTCAGGCCTGGAAGATCCTGCCTACATATCTGAAATCAGAAGTGGCTTTAGGATTTCTAAAAAGTCCAAACATCTTCCAAAAATGGCTCACAAGATAATCAAAAATCATATATAAAACGCTCCACATTTTATTTTATATTAATTAGCAGGATCTCAGGTGCAGTGGAAGGTTGGCATTTACTGTCCATTATTAAGAGCAAAATAGGCACTGGGGAAACTTTATTTCCTCAGTGGCTCAGAAAATGACTAAGTGAACTATGGAAAACTCATTCAAGATTTTTTGATGAA